TAGTAATAATAACAACAACAATTATTATTTATATTATTTTATATTTTAGATTGTTATTTAGTTAGTTATTTTTATTCCATATATTTCCACATTATTTATTAGTTATTTATTGTATTAATAGTCATTATTTTTGTATTATTATATTATAAAATATTATAAATTATATTATATATAAAATAATATTAAAATATATATATTTAGATTTTAATTATTTGTTTATGTTTTAAGATTCTGTTAACTTACTATTTTATCGTGGTTAAAACCTTTGTTACTCATAAGCAAAAACAATCTCGAGGGGGCTTTTTTCTTAAAAGGATTTCTTTACTATAAAAGTAATTTAGCTGCTTTCTGATTCCAAGGGATGAAGTGATGTGCATGTTTAGCTGTTAGAATCAAGCAGATAAATACATTAAAATGCGTTATTATTTAGTCAGTACATTTAGTAAATAAATACATTAAAATGCGTTAGTCCCCCCGCCTCGAATTTCCTCTTCGAGATATATTGCTTTGATTTCTCTCAATATGGTCTTTGAGTTAATATTAATTTATACACCGATATTTATACTCAGTGCGTTTGGCTCCACCTATCGGCTCACCGCGCGCAGTGCACTCAACATGGCGGCACCCGTTCCTTCTGTACCACAAGTTCACATTTAGCAACAACAACAACGTACGGTAGATGATATTATCGATATTTAACGTGAGTTCGATATCTTGTCGTCTAAAAGCCTCAAGCCTGTGCCGTTAAACCAACTATGATTGTGCTTTGTCAAAGGATCTCTATGGGATGGTGCTCATTGTCAGTGGCAATTATATATGAGTGTTATTGAATTATATTGAGTGAACGTTCAATAATTTCTGCTCTACAGTTTGCTGTATTAATAACTTGAATGTCAGATACTACCTTAGAAACAGTAATGTGGCACATCTAAGAATGGCTTTCCAGAATACCACGGTAGTTACAAACTACATGTCCAAAAAACTATTACTTTATGACTTTTTATAAGTGATAGTTATAGATAGACATATGGTGCTCAATGTTTATCATATTCATATACCTATACCATATATTTACAGATATTTACATGACACTCCAAGGTACTTTAAATAATAACATTTCTTGGCACAGCAATAATCAAATGTCAATAAAAATGCATGGTTTCTTTTTTTTTCTTTTTTTTACTAAAAATAGTTACTATTTTCAGTTGTACTTTCACCTTTACTCATTCAATATCTGATTGCTCATCCTACACTGTTGTTTCTCTTTTAGGGTGGTGATGTCCAGACTGGCTGTAGTGTTTGGGGGTTCGCGTGGCATTGGGCGAGCAGTTTCTCAGCTGTTAGCACAGAGGGGTCATAGGGTTGTGGTGTTGTCTAGGAATAAGGAGGCTGCTCAGGCTACAGCTGAATCTCTCCCTGGAGGTGAATCAGTCTGAATTACTTTGCATTGGTTTGCTGATGAAAAGTCTAACACTTCAGTTTGAAAATGTAGACATCATACACTTCAGGGCTTTTTTTAAATTTTTTTTACCTAAATTGGAGTGTTGTGTATAGTATGTATCTATCGAACAGCACAAACAAAAGCATTTTGTTACCAGTTGGGGCAATGAATGCAATTAAAAAAAAAACTTAATCTTAAATTGTGTTAAAAATAGATGTTATAATTCTGGAGTATATATTTAATTTCAGAAAAACATTTGGGTCTAAGCTGTGATGTCTCTAAAGAAGAAGACATTCAGAAAGCATTTGAGACCATCAGTAAGACCTGTGGCACTGTGGGATACCTGGTTAATGCAGCTGGCATCAACAGGTCAGAAAAGCCACAAAGCTGTGTTGCAGAATAAATATATCAGACAGATACCATGGCCAAAAGAGATGATGATAATAAAAATAGCAGATTTGTATGTAATAAATAAAAGACTGCTGCATTGTAATATATATTGCATGTGGGTTTGTTTTAAAGAGATGCATTGTTATTGAGGAGTAAATCTGAAGACATGCTGTCTGTTCTTCACACCAACCTGCTGGGCTCAATACTGACATGCAGAGGCGCTCTACGGAGCATGCTCAGTCACGGAGGAGCTATTGTCAACATAGGTGAGGCTTATTTCTGTATGTCCCATTACCTTATGATCTTCTTATATATTATTTCAATTCAATGTCATGAAGTTCAAGTTGGAGAAAAGGGGAAAAGTCTCCATGCATCAGCAGCTGGGCATTTTAGGTTCGTTAAATCACCACTAGATGGCGCAGAAGCTACAGATTTTAAATTGTTTCACTCTGTCTGCATCATAATGTAGTTCTTACACTTTCAATGGAAACTGCATTGACTAGCCTATACTATAAAAAAAACTGCATCTGTGTTTTTTGTTGAGTATCATATTTGATATGTCTGGCTTTTATTGCTCATATTATAAGTATATTATGAAACTGGAGAATATGGAGCTTGTACTCGTGGAAGAAAAACACATCTCAAATTTTATTCAGAGGTCCAAACTGAGCAAAATATGCAATTTAGTGCACTTGCTGATATTTATATGGCAAAAAAAAGATGCAATTCTGATAGCTTGGAATTATACATTATATAATGTTAAAACATAATACAATGTAATACAGAGATGACTGAGAGATGCACAAATAAATATTCCTCAGAAGCCTGATGTATCATAATTGGTACTTAAATTTTAACATGATTTTGTTCTAAAAATGAAGTATGGATCATCTAAGTTGCTTCCGTCCAATAAATGCTTGTCTTGAAATATTTAAAAAAATATATAGTATAACAATAATACAATTAATTCTTACGTTTACTTTATAAAACTCATTAAAGATTTCAAAAAGCACCGAAGAGGGACATTTTTAGAATTATACTAAAAGGGCTTTTACTTTCTAAAAAAGTATAAACTATCAATCAGACGACAACAGATTTTCCATCAAAGTTTTGATTGTGTTGCTAATTTAGAGGTTTTCCTCAGGCTCTGTGGTGGGTGTGAAGGGTAACTCCGGTCAGTGTGTGTACAGTGCCAGTAAAGCTGGACTGGAAGGATTCACATGCTCACTGGCGAAGGAAGTTGCTACCCGGAATATACGAGTGAACTTGGTGGCTCCAGGTTGTTTGCCCTATCTTTTTCTTCTACTACTTCTTTTGCCTATTAATCTGCATATTAGCAGTCATATGAGTAACACTGAAAATTCGTTTCACTCTCCCCTCTCAGGATTCATTCGGACGGACATGACGGCAAGGCTGGAAAAGCAAGAAGCAGTGAGAAGAATTCCACTGGGCCGTTTTGGGGAACCTGCAGAGGTGGCCCAGGCTGTCCTTTTCCTCCTGGAGTCTCCTTATATCACAGGACAGGTTCTGCTCGTGGATGGAGGACTACAGCTGGCATTGTGATGATTTCTGCCAGCAAAGCATGTGAGCCGACTGCATATTTTTGCAATGCTGATAATATACAATAACTGTATTTACAGACTGCGTCAAATCTTGGTATTGTTAATCACCTCCTCATTGCTCTGTGGAATTCTGAGTCACGTATCATTGTGTAAGAGCAGTTTTGGTCCATCTGGATTGGATTAAGATTATTTTTAGTTCACTGGAGTTTTTGGGTTATGGCTGCACATTCCATACTTGGGATGACAGAGGTCACAGGTCAATGTGTGGAGGATATGACTCGCTTTGTGTTGTCATAGTTATTTTCAGCATCCAAATAAGCTGTGCTACATTACACTTACAGATGAATTAAACCCCTAACTCGTATAAAAATAATTTAAGAAAAATAAAATGGGTAGACTAATTAAAATGTATTAAAGTCTGGCCTTTTCACCATCATAAAAATACAGATTATCAAAAAAGCTAATTCATCTTTGAGAAATGTTTTTGCCAAGAGCAACTGGACTCAACCCAGACGCAGTCATTTCAGAGACATTTATTTATGTACTACTCATAAACCAGAAGAGAATAAGGAGAACAGTCCGTATACAGGCACAGGTTGGCTTGGAAAACAGAAAATACTGCAAGTAAGAAAGAACCTCCAAATATGTCTATTTAAAGGGAAAACAGCTGTGTAAGAAAAACAAACATATGCAAATCATAGGCTTATATGTGTGTATGGTTATGCTATATTGTTTTGTATATACGTTGCAACTGTGTGCGAGATGACGGCTAAACTATGTGAACTCCCAACTGAGTATTTGATATTCGACTGATCAAAGCAAATGTTGAGAGAACGCTAATATCTTTACAAATGCGTTACGAAGACGGAATATGTTTGAGTTACTTAAAAAGCCAATGAAATTGAAACAAATTTGTGCTGCCAGTATCCCATTTTTGCATGTTTCTGTAATTCCAAACCTGAAAACTGAAGCCTACCTGTCAAAGCATTACCATCTCATCATTACATGCACCATCATCTTCAAAATCAGTAATACTCGTAGAAATCTCGCCTTCATCCACAATCAGGCCACCCTCCATAAACATGCATGCGCCGATTCTGCTTCCTGTACTTCCATCATAGGCATTCCTCATCACTCTCGCTTCCACGGAAACACAACAAACATCTGTCCAAACCTGTCAGTCAGCCAAAACTTGCAAAATTCTCATCACTCATGTTAATGACATATCAGTCTCCGCTTTTAATCTCTCCTAAAAAAGACAGGGTGGGAAAAGATCATTAAGGCCCGGCCTTGTGTGACATCTCTGGATTGGAGCCGAGATCCAGATGCGGCTTCTATCTATGGCAGAGTGCATCTGATCAATATGCTGGATCTCAAGGACCCTGAAGCTCCATGGAGTTTTAGGTGTGTCCATCTTTCCACAGCCCTGTTCCCTACATCCAGAGAACCAGCCCCCCGCCAAACCACCCAAAAAAAGTCCTATTTCCTGTGCTGGAGAGGAAGACATTTCTTCCAACGTTTCATAAATATATCTAATTTAAGGCATTATAACTAAATACATAAAAAGTGTTACATGTTGGCACCGTAGTAACATGCACAGCTAGATGATAGTTACTTGAATAGTTTTTTTTAATTATTATTATTTTAAATTTAATTTGAAAATTAAATATTTCTTAGGCACTTGTAAAATCTAGAGATGAAAAACAAGGTGATCATCGGTATACTACCTCCTTCCTCAAAGCACGTGCTGGTGTGTGTGTGTGTGCGTGTGTGTGTAAAGTCCGTCGGCGAACCACTAAGTCTGTATACAAGCAGGATATGACCTCACTTAATCACCCACATCACTGCCCCTCAGACAACAACTGAAATAAAAGCATAGCGAATGGTCCTCCTCAGGCGGAGAAGTGATAATACCAAGAATCATAATCTGTGAGGAAATACTTTGCAGCTTCCTCCCTCGCCATTCAAAGTCAATCGATCACTTTTTCATCCGACCCCAGCTAGAGGCGTTTATTGGGAAATGGGTGGGGATTATGGAGTACACTGGATCAAGGGATCGGGATTCCAAGGTCAGATCCTCAATGCTAGTCTCTACAGGTCGTCACTCTCTACTAGGGTGCCAGGAAGAGGAGGATTGGAGTCTGGGAAGAAGGCTGCTTTCACATCCAGACCTCGTTCTGTCAGAGCGGCGTAGCGGCTCGCTGATGGACGAACCTTCTTGAGCTTCGGAGTGCGAGTCTGCTGCCACTGGGCTGAGGGAAAGAAAGGGCGAGGATGAACATGGTTTCTCACTTTGAACAATTCAGAGGATGTAATATTGATGTCTAGATAATGAATGTAGTTCCTCGATTATGAAAACATATGGAGACTTAACTGTATAGCTTGGAAAGTTTCATTTAGGGTTACACAGTATACCAGGAAAAAAGTCAAATAAACAATATATAAATAAAAGGATAAATAAATAAATATACAAATGCAATTCAGAGGGGGAAAATGTGATTCGAAAGGAGTTCAGACAATTTCATTATTCACATCCATGTTTGCCAACTGGAGCAAAGCAACTTAGTATTTTCTTTCTTAATTACAATATATGGAAAGTCTGGAATATTTGGATATTATATTTGGAAAATATGCTGAACATGCACCTCTAAGCCTGTATGATTGAAAGTTGTGCCTTGGATTTCATGTATACTTCCTTTATTTATATTCTGATTATATGCAAATATATAATGCATATACAACTGTCAATATGCATGATACAATTTTACCATATAATTTACTGATATTAGACCATTTCTTTTCATTTATCTGCCAATATTTTATATTTAACTCTGATCCACATTCAAACATCAAAATACTGTGATGCCTAAATTCACATGTAGCATTAAAAATGAATAATTTTAGCTTTTAGTGTTTTATTTTTAATATATTAAGGCAACAGTATAGATCTTTAATATATATTTTTTATGAAATAATTAAGTTTTAATATTGGTAAATCAATTTTATATCAGTATTGGGGTATCAAAGCCGATACTGTATCAAAGCCAAAAATGTTAGTGTTGAGCAAACTCTAGTTCCAATTCATTCCAGATTGGATGTGTTGACTTTGAATCATGGTATGATGAAGATCAGAACAATAAGTGTTAAATCACATCCCTTGTGTGATTAAAACCACTTTCATAAGACTCCAGCACACAGGCTGCCAGTCCATTGTTGGTTTAATGTTAGGTAATGCATCCATATTGTTAAGCCTGTTGTTGATGGCAAACACAGCACTGGCTAATTGCTATGGGAACAACACTGGGCGGAGGAAGGGAGTGTGCTTTTATTGGACAGATTAAATACAGTTTTGTTCTTAGTCTGAAGCAACTTATGCAAGCGCATTGATCAGATAAACCACTTAAAACTACTTGGTTTGTATTTAGTGTACTTTGGTCTTTTACCAATCATAGCTCAGCATTGTTACATGCATTCTTCAGATCCGTTTCCACTGTGTGTTTGACTAACCATGTACGTCGAGACGTGCCGTACTGGAGATGATGCCAGCTTCGTTCTTAGCTGAAACCGTGTACCAGCCTGCGTCTTCCTTCAGAGCCGGCTGGATGATCACACAGAGGTAACCAAAGTTGTCCTGGTGCATGCTGGGAAATAGAATTGAACATCAGAATGAGTAAGTGGCAACACTGTTTGCACTGAAACAAAGGATTATAATGAGATGCCTGGATTGTTTATTAAGGTTGCACGGGCATATTACTTTGATTTGAATCCTTATGTTCACAAACAATGACTGGAGACTTTACAGCTTGTGACTAACTGCTCTCGTCTCTCTGAGGTGGTGTAGACGGTAGCGCCTGTGGTGAGGTTACTTTGTGTGTTTCTTTTACAAGGTTCTTTTCATCGATATACACACACATGTGGCAACTTTAAACACCAGGCTTCCAACAGCTGCCATATACAGGCTCTTTTTAAATGTATCTATGAGGTAAATAGTGTTTAACATAATATAATATACCATAATATAATAATACGTATTTAGCTAAATTGTAGCTTGGAATGGCTGTAGGAGGGCTTTGATTGGCCCAAGGTCTCCTACCTTATCCTGTCGGTGTTGTGAGTGAAGGACTCATTCTCTTTCTTCCAGAAGATCTGTGGGAATGGGACTCCAGACACACGGCACTCAAGACGCACTGGGTGACCCTCAGCGACACTTGTGTTCTGGAGTTTCTCAATGAAGCATGGAGCTTTATGCATCTCTTTGGCTAAAAAAATAAAATACATAAATATATATAAATATATATTAAATTAATACAAATATATATTTAAAATTAAAATGGTAAAAAAAAGTATTAGTTTGAAAATCTTTCCTATACAAATATATTTATACATATTAAAATGATCCAAATTATACATTCTTACCTGCATTTTACATAGATATTTTATAGTTGTTGTTTTTTTAAAGAAATTAATACTTGTATTCAGTAAGGACACATTTAAAAAGTTTTTGACATTTCTATTTCCGTTCTTTTGAACTTTTTGGGGAGGAAAAGTATCACAGTTTTAAGAAAATAAGCAGCATAACTGTTTTCAACATTGATGAAGAAATTAGTGTTTCTTGAACAACAAATCAGCATATTAGAATGATTTCTGAAGGATCATGTGACACTGAAGACTGGAGTAATGATGCTGAAAATTCCGCTTTGCCATCACATAAATTACAATAAAAATACTAATAAAATAGAAAAGTTATTTTAAATTGCAATAATATTTCAAAATATTACTGTTTTTATTTTATTTTTGATCAAATAATTGCAGCCTAGGTGAACATGAGACTTTTTCAAAAATATTACCCATTTTTTGTTTCACCAGAATGGCATGTATCTTATTCTTTCTATTATCTTCTTATTTTTATTTATATGTTATTATACATTACAAATTGTATTATTTATTACAAATTGAACTCTATGGTTGTGTAGAAGATGATAGTTATGTACCTGCAACAATGAGCTCTAGGTTGAATGAGTTCTGTCCAGCCCTGTTGCTGGCGATGCATGTGTAAACTCCTGCATCTCTGCTTGTGACAGGTTCGATGACCAATGAATGAACCCCGTTCTCCCTCACCAGCATCTTGTGGGAGGAGTCTGGACGGATGGTCTGGCCATTCAGCTGCCAGATGAGGTCAGGAGTTGGCAGGCCACTAACCTATGTTTGAAAGACAAGTCAATCAGTTGTTTTCAGCATAATATATCCTTTCCTACTCTGCTATAAAATGTAAATTATAGTGCAATTGGCCCTTTTAAATTATTTTCAACCCTAATGCTAGCGTTTATGTCTGGTGTAGGGTATCTGGTAGCTGTACTGTATGCGTGTGGTTCTCATGGGAAATCAGTCTGTGCACAATGCCTGGGCTCTATTTTCAACAACTCTCACATTCCTGAGAAACACAACACCTGCTCCACCTGAAGGTGTGCCAGCGACAGACCACCAGTCGACGTGTCTGTGCGTTTATGTTTGTTTATGAGTGTGTGCATGTGTTTGTGTGTTTATGCATGGGGCTGAGATGCTCATTTATCCATCTGCTTTGGTTGTGATGTTCCTCAGAATGTTCATGACGTTTGTGAACACACTGCTCAAGTACAGTTCCCCTGGGTGTGCATATTCCCTGTGTGATGTTTACAGTGTCC